GTCCAGGTTGGTTCCATTATACAGTGAACCAACCGTTTCAAGATTATATATTACAGATTTCTTCTCACCACAGTATACTTGGACTACTGTGTTCAGATTGGTTCCATTATACAGTGAACCAACTGTTTCAGGATTAGATATTAGAGATTTCTTCTCACCACGGTATACTTGGACTACTGTGTTCAGGTTGGTTCCATTATACAGTGAACCAACCGTTTCAGGATTAGATATTAGAGATTTCTTCTCACCACAGTATACTTGGACTACTGTGTCCAGGTTGGTTCCATTATACAGTGAACCAACTGTTTCAGGATTATATATTACAGATTTCTTCTCACCACAGTATACTTGGACTACTGTGTTCAGATTGGTTCCATTATACAGTGAACCAACTGTTTCAGGATTAGATATTAGAGATTTCTTCTCACCACAGTATACTTGGACTACTGTGTCCAGGTTGGTTCCATTATACAGTGAACCAACTGTTTCAGGATTATATGTTACAGATTTCTTCTCAACACGGTATACTTGGCCTACTGTGTTCAGGTTGGTTCCATTATACAGTGAACCAACTGTTTCAGGATTATATATTAAAGACTTTCATTTTGTGTTTCATGCTAAAATGAGGCAAGCACTGATAATTTTAATTTTAAATAATTTTATGAATAAGAGATTATTTTTAGTTTGAAGTGGTTTCTTTGATGGGCCAAACTGCCATCTAAAACATAATTATAAAACATTTCCTTTCAAACTTATAATAAGTGTCAAGAAAAGTAGCTCCATATGAAACACTTCCTACAGGTCACAAGGCCTCACTAATAGAAGTTGTTTTTATGTCATTCATCAAAATTGAATTGTAACTGAAGTTCACTTACTTTGTCGGATACACAAAAGTTATTTTACAGCACTCATGATAGGTTATACATACGCAATGTATATTATATATTTTAATGTTTATTATATTCTTAATTACAGAATACTTACTTCCCCACATCTTATTACACGGGAATTTAACACAGTTATAAATTACTCTACTAAAATTATTACAATTCTTCTCAACTCCCATGAAATAAAATTAACACTAGTATGGATGTATAATTTGCTGACAAAAGGTGAGGGTGTATCATACATATCCATAAAAAGTGAAATATTGTTGAACAGTCGATTTTATGTGTCCAAATGTTAAATGTAACTTGTAAAACTTCATCGTCTATTTGTGTCTAACTTCTTAGTATAGCCATAGGACTATAATTTTTAACACACTTCCAATGTTTTAAAATTTTGTGCAAATCTTTAATAAAATTAAAATTGAAAGTCCCAAGGCTAAGGTAAAGATTCCAGTGCCAGTACAAACACTGAAAGTGTATAAGTCTTAAGTCAAGAGTAAGATCATCTAGCCTGATATCCTACTAGTACTACTGTAATTCTGCTATTTAGATTTTGTCAAGCCTAAATTATCAGTATCACTAACATTACATTTAGTGATTTACACTTTATAGTTAAGTTAGTCCTGTTACAGTAAACTTAAAATCTTATTTAGTTATTATTAATAATAAAAAACATCGGTATTAACACTAACACTTGTAGTAGTACTAACTCCTATTAGTAAAATATTAATTATTTTTCAACTTAAGTTTATAATTAAAAACAAAATGCAATGCAATATAACCTTCAAAAATATTTTATCAAATCTTCGTACGTTTACCTTCCACCATAACTAATCAAGTTCTAATTTTAGCTTTACAACACTACTGAAATCGCCGAGATTAACGCCCTCTACAATTTAAATATCTGCAGCATCTGTAACAATATATATATATATATATTTATATATTAAGTATGATGCTCATCAATAATTTAAGTATGTGATTTCATAATATATTAAAGTAATACTACAAGGGAATTTTTAAGTAAGATTTAGTTTCTTTCATATATTTGCGCAATGCTTCACAAGGGCTATCTGCATCAGCCGTCTCTAATCTTTATATGATAGTCCAGAAATACGGCATCTAGTCAATTTCACCCACCACTAACTCTTTTGGCTGTTGTAATTAATTTATACGATTTAATCGTAATTCTTATAACACATGCATAGCCCCAAAGTATTTGACTCGAATTTTTCTCAACTGGCCACTAGGCTACATCCGGCACTTGAAGGAAGAATAAGGACTTATAAATATATGTTATAAATATTACAACAATAGGTCTTGCATGTTTCATACACCGCAAAACAATATTTTAGGAGATATGAACTCTCTATTTCACGAATTAAGAAAATACGGCGAAATTTTGTTTTTTAATTTATTACTTAAATAGGTCTATATTGCACAAAAACCTTTTGTAAAATATATTTTGTAAAGTTATAAATAAGTACGTTACGTAGAAGTAACAATGTTGAATTTAGGAACCAACAAAATCATTCTATGGTTTATTTATAGTTACTTGGAAGTAAGAGCATTCAAGTACAGAATAAAATCATTTGTATCAGTATTAAACAATACAGATTTGTTACCTGCAAGTTTCAATGTGCAATACAGACTTACCGACCAGTAATATTTTATTTCGTTTTCTAAGACTTTCCATTTATGTAAAGTTTATAGAACAGAAATGGGAATTGTTTAACCACTAATCAATTATTACATTTTCCTACTGTAACATGTTCAACAACAGTGGTGGTTAAAACATGGTATTATAGTTTTAGCATTGAATATAATTGTAATTCTGACATTATATTTATAAACTATTAGGTTTGTTTTATATTAGAACAGATTTTGTCTCCAGTTGATCCTACTTTCTCAGTCCACTTATACAGCAGAATACTTTTCATGTAGTTTTAAGCACAAAACTAAATAATGGGCTAGCTGTGCTCTCTCGAAACTCGATTTGTAGCTTTATGAGCCTTCCGTTGAACCCCCTGGCGATTAAAACAAAAAACACTGACATTCCGAATTTCGTTTCCCAACATCACAAATTTGAATTTACATTTCTCTAAAACATCAAGAAAATACTATTTACATCGATCAATATATCTCTTCTTTGGTTATCCCGCTGCCAACAAATATAACAATAAAAGTAACCGAGATTGTAATAGTTGCATTCTGAAATTCTTACAAATAATTCAAACTGAGATAAATTTTTGTAGAAATATATATACAAGCCACATTTAATACGAGAAAAATTAGTTATTTATATAGCAGTTTCTAAGACATGCACTTCCTACACGTTCCACACGTCTACACAAGAATGTTATTTACTTACCTGGTTATGGATGTTTCACACATCTATACAAGAATGTTATTTACTTACCTGGGTAAGGATGTTTCACACATCTGTACTAGAAAGTTATTTAATAATCTGGTAAGGATGTTTCACACATCTGTACTAGAATGTTATTTAATAATCTGGTAAGGATGTTTCACACATCTATACAAGAATGTTATTCACTTACCTGGTTAAGGATGTTTCACACATCTGTACTAGAATGTTATTTAATAATCTGGTAAGGATGTTTCACACATTTATACTAGAATGTTATTTACAAATCCTAATGAGCATGAGCACATTCTCAAAATAAAAAAAAAGAGGATCTGATGATTAATTATGACTAATATTATATATCTGAGAACACTTATAATATTTTAAACTGCTATGTATTAATAACTTGTAATATTCTAAACTGGTATGTATTAATAACTTGTAATATTTTAAACTGCTATGTATTAATAACTTG